CGAGATAGGACAGGATTGGGAAAGGTACCAATTATGAGAAGGCTACTTGTGGGATTCAAATAAACAACTTTTCTTTATAAGCTTGTATATAAAAGTTATAGATCCTATAGGATGTGAAAAAAATTTGAAAGCCTACTTAGAACTTGAAGTCTTTGGTGTTACCATTTTCCAGCTCTTGAGACAGACATGAGCCTCAAGGTTAGTCGGAGTAAAAGAGGCACGATGATCGCTCATCACTCTGAGGGCATGAGAGAACGTGCTTTCAGAGGGGGCACTCGTGGCAGGCACGGCAAGCATTGCCTTCGCCATGCGAGCCAAGTTGGGCCAGTGGCGTCCAGCGGTTTCCCAAAACACAAGAGGTTTGCAAATTTCATCCTCCAGAGGCGCGGTGAGATATTCTTTCACCTCGTCTTCGATGGGAACGGTCTTGCGGCGCTTTATGAAATGTTGAGGTCGGTCCAGGCACAAGGTCTCTTGAGGTTCGACAATTTCGATTTCGGGATCGAGAGTGGGTTTGAATTTGGTAGCATGCTCAGTGAAGTACGCCACAAGGTCTTCAGGTCCCCATCCGAGGGATTCCATGGTCTGAGCTTTGAGGGCGTTGACTTTGAGACGAGGGTTGAGAATCGCTGTGCAAATGTAGACCGATTTCTTCTGAGCAGCCTCCTGATAATGTATTATTTTCTTGATCATAGGCATTATGGCCACCTTGAGTTCCTTGCAATTAGAATCGGACCACACCTATCAAAGCAAATAAGTTAATCAGTAATGTTATTTCCTAAAAACAAGAAAAAAAATATATTAAACTCACACGTTCAAGCCGCTCAACAAGCCATTGGTAGTCAGGCATAACAAGAGAAAAGGTTGGGTATTGGTGACCTTCGATCGTTTGAGTCACAGTAGCAAGAGGAGCCAGGAACTGAACCAAATTTTCAACCAAGGCCCACTCGTCATGTTCGAGTTTGAAGCACTCAAGTGCTGGATTGCTATTAAACTGATACTCCAAAACCACTCGAAGCTCAACAAAACAAGCAAGGGAGGAGTGAGTTGAAGACCATCGCGTCGAGACTTCATGAACTAAGCCAACCTTCCGTTCTAATTTTGCACAGCTAGCGATGGCGTTATCAAGAGACGTTTTGAGTTGACTGCTGTGTTTAATCTTCTTGTGAAAGCCTTGGATTCGAGTCAAAATACTTGCTATCTCGGTGTTTGAAGTGGGCTCGATGAACAACGGAAGTGAAGAAGGATGCTGAGGAATGGCAGGATCGAGGGCATTCACAGGTGGAGTGGGTGTTTTACGATCAAAGACAGCCATTCCGGCTTTGGCTACAAGGTTTATGACATGAGCTACGCATCCATGGAGGTGTTCAGAAGCATCGAAATGAGGTAACATCGTCGATAAGGCTTGCCCCATCGTCGTATTGTTAGAGGCGTTGTCGGCAGTGATGCAATAAAGGCGTTTGGATATGTGGAAAGACTCGAGGATATGCTTGAGAAGAGAAGCAAGATTGGTACCTGTGCAAAATTATAAAAAAAACATCAGTGAATTTATTTTCATTGAGGATCAAGGAAATCAAATTGAGAACTTGCCTGTATGCGGTCCTTCGATTGGCTTCAAAGCCAAGGTGATAGCTTTCATCTCGAAATCGTCGGAGATCCAATGCGCGGTAACGCCAAGCATTGCGATGTTGGTAGGAGACGTCCACCCGTCGCAAGTAATGCTGATTTGGCTGACAGAAGAGAGTATGTTGATGATGCTCGCTTTGTTCAATCGATAGCTCTCGATGATCCCATCAGAGACAGCAGTACGCCCCAAAAAAGAGAGAAAGCCGCTGGATTGATCATATGGATCCTCTATAGGAACTCGGGGGATGAGCCGCGTTCTGCCCAGATTGGTGCTA